TTCCTCAATTTCCCACCCCTGAGACCTAATTACCGGCCCGGCAAAAATAATTATCTGTCGATTGACCCTACAATTATATTTTTTGAGGGCCTACAGGGGCTGGCATTTCGTTACCCGTAAAACGCGTTTTTTCTAGGGAATTTCCTAGGGACATGTCGGGCAAAAATCCCTCCACCCGGGCCTTAAATTCAACTTCGGCAAAAATCGGAAACATTCGACGTTCATCGCTAACCAATCATATTGTGTTAAAAAATGTTTGGAGAAAATGCTGTGTAGCACAGTACAAATTGAAAGAGAGCACACTAAAAAATACCGATCTGGATAGGAATTTTTGAAGGATTTCTATCACTTTTTCTTTCAAACTAAAAAAAAAATGATAGACCTTCAAATTTTATAATGCTCTTTAGTAAATTTTATGGAGCCACACATGATTAATTACGGAATGTGTAAGAAAATTTGACATATTGATAGTAATTTTTATTTGTGAATCAAAGAAGTTCTAGTATTCTAGCATTTTGCACCACGATTGTCGTGCTCGGCACAGTAATTTTTCTTGGACTTTTCTCTCCGTGTAATTCAGGTTAAATTATCGAATCTGGGACGAGAAATTTAACGCAAGTATAAACGTGTCAAGTTTTAATTGCAATGTTTTTCCAATTGGACATTGTTTGAGTTCATTTTTATTAGTACAATTCCACCGTTTGGATTTCCGAGAAACCCACCTTCATTATATGATAGTATCATACAAACCGCTCTTTCCATTGAGCATTGTCCTTCATCAAAGATCTTGGCATACTTATCATTTATTAGGGCAATGCTAGTTTCATACTTCGCTATTTCCATTATCAATAAAAACGGAAAATTAACGGATTTTTACAGATTTTTTCCATGCGATAAAATTGCACGAATATGGTTAATATTCTTCCAAAATCTATTCAAATATCACATTTTATTCCAAAATGTCAGAAACTGAAAGTGTTGGATTTTGAATTTCTATTTGAACAATTTAGCACTATATTTACTATAATATATCTCTGCTACTTTGGTAAATAAATAAAATTAAAAAAAAAACAATTCAATTTTGTCAATCATAATCAAGCAGCCTCTTTTCCCAAGGCTGCTGCCATAAACTTCGTCTAAGCCTAACTCGATTTTTTGTTGAGCAGTTGTAGAACATTTGGTATGATATGTCATTATTAGCTAAGTGCAAATTTTTCTGCTTTCATCAATATAACGATCTTTTTTAGTGGAGCCAGTCAGCTTCAGTGAAGTTTTAGCTGGTAGGTTTTCCCAGTCCTGTTCGTATCATCAGCCTTGAAAATTCTTATCAGAGTTATAGTATTTTTTTAACAACAACTATTACGAGTATTACTTATACCACTATTTATCTATGATTTTTTTTCAAATTATTGGGTAAACTTTATCCCATGAAGTATCGCTCTACCTCGGAGTTTCGAATACTCGATCTATTTTATTTATTGAATTCCTGAAAAAATACCGTCTGAACGCAAAATAATTTTTAAGGGTGATTCATCATCATGAAAGCATTGCAAAAAAAAAGTTTCCACGTATTGCTGCCTATTTTGCATAAAAAAATTATATTTATATTTCAAATTAGAAAATAGAATGTTGAAAATTCCCACTCGATCGCACGGCGGCCTTCTCTCGGTATCGGTCGAACCAGGCCTCAAGAAGGGAGAAAAGTCGAAATAGGGCAGGTAGCTTCGTTAAGTGGATGAGACCCCTCTCTCAGCTCTCACTAACGAATCTCGGGAGCCGCTTGAGCTCGATGAGCCGAGATTGCCGGGTCCTGAGTGTGACAATAATATTGTCAGTCGTATTTACAAAAATTAATACTGCAACACTAATTAATTGAAATTTCATGGAAATTTGCAAATTCTTCGAATTATTAAATCGACAATTGTCAATAATGTTTTCAGTGTTCTGCTACCTTTGGGGAGCTGCAGCGAATTCTCCAGAGATCCTAAAGCAAATTAATGGTATCCCTGGACTTGAGGGAGCAAACTTAACTGCCATTAACCAGACTGTAGCACTTGGGAAAATTAATGAGATGAAAGAATTGTTGAAAGAAAAATGTGATAAGAATGGAGGAACAGGGACTTTCGATAAAGTTTTTGCTGCCAAAGACGAACTTTTTAATTGTGTGAAGAACTTAGTGAACTTTACTGTCCTCAACCAGGAGATGGAGGCCGCTAAACCTACTGGAGATCTTGACATTGTTTTTAAGAAGTATTGTGATAAAAGGGGAATTTTTGAAGAGTGCATTTCGAATTTCACTAATGTTTTGGATCCTTGCTTGGAGCCCATAGAGAAGGATAATCAAGCAATAGTAAAAGATGCTACACATTCAGTGTTGGACTTCATTTGTCATAAAGAAGGTGATCGAATTGCATGTAAGTAGAGGGAACAGCTAAATGCACTAAACCTTCCTGTAGTTAGTAATGGTACATTTGTTATTTTCGGGTTTTCTCAAAACATGCATTCAATGGGGCTTATTTCATAACGTTATCCCATATTGGTGTACTAATATTCGATTATACGCTATAGTAATACTGTTGATCGATAATTTTACCTAAATTGAATAAAACGGAGAATTTCCATTGTTAAAATGAACATACATAATGTTGAAGATATCTTCGAATTGAAGGGACTGCGATCCAAAAAATTATAACAATACATGATGACAATGAGAGGCATCATTTAGACATTATTAATTTTCGCATAATTTTAAAGAATACCTGAATATTTCTATCATTGACCGTTTTTGTTTCCAAACGAGAAAGATTTTTCGGTCACTGAATCTGGGGAAATAGATTAACTTCTGGTGCACTTATTACTATAATTGGCTTCCGGATGGAGGCCGCGTTTTGATTCAACATTCTGCCAGAGCTCCCCAAACATTGAACACTCCAAGAATAATAATTATTATACTATGTGTCTCGCCCTACGAGATTATAAGTGTAGTAACGTTAATTATACCTTGAAGTCACAAGATTCAGAGTAAAACAAAAGATTTTTGGATTTGCCATGTGCTGTTGGTTTCTCTCAATCGCTTTCATTCGTTTTCTTGTGCCGAAAAAGTCAACACGTTCTTAGTAAAAAAATCGTATCCGGTTATGGGAAAACACGGGAAAAGATCAAGAAGCAGGAGCAAGAGCAGATCAAGATGCAGGGAGAGGGAAACCGATCGCATCTGGGCTCAATTAAATAAAATGGAACAACTTATTGAGTCGAAATTTACAGACAAATCTCCCAAGCCTCCAGATGACATCGAAGAAAACTCTGGAATCGAAACACCTTCCTCTCCCAACGACAAAGGTGAACTTTAAGGCAATTCTTTCTTTGAGAGATCCTTATACGCAATATATACACCTATATGAACGAACTTATACAAGAGATAAGTCAATGTTCGGATAATCTGTATGGTTGAGCTTATCCGAGAGGTAAGACATAACCAAAGTATGATATTCTCTAACGACACACCCTTCCCCATCAGATCCTCTTCCCAATGAAATTAATTACGTCTGTGTCTCATATTCTCCAAAGACAAATACCCAAAACCCTTGTGACGAACCCCATTTAAATAACACCTCACTAAATGACTCAGGTAAAATTCCAACCGAGAAAAAATCTCGGAACGCGGAACCTACGGAGATTGACGAGGACACTCTCCCAATTCTTGACGACGATTCCACACAAAATAAAGAACAGGCAGTCATTCATCTGAGTATTGCGGTGCGCTGGAATGGATGGCTCAAAACATCCATGGACAAGAAATATAAGGCAGAATTCCTGAAAAAATACCAAAGAGAAGGTGATTGCCACTTGGAAGCTTAAATTCTTAACCCAGAATTGACCTTTTCCCTCTCAGACAGTACCCTCAAGCGAGATAAATATATGTCGACGACACAAAATCTCGCGGACTCTGGATTATTAGCATTAGCTGCGGTTACGAACATTTAGATTGAAGGGAAACTAGCTGACCCCAAGCTAATCATGGAAGAAAAACCTTGCAGGTTGATTACACCTTTTTTTATGGAAACTGGAACAAAATAACTTCTGATCGATTTATCTCCCAAATTGTTCAGGGTTACGAGATTGACTTTGCACAAACTCCCTTCCAATCGAAAATGATTAAACAAAATTGGACTTCAACTGAAAAGAATATCATCCAAGGCGAAATTCACAGACTACATTGATGCAATTAAACCTTGCAGTGAATTTCAAAATGAATTCATTTCCCCCTTTTTCCTGCGTCGAAAACCAAATGGCGAACACCGATTTACTTTAAACCTAAAAAATCTGAACCAACTCATTGAAACTGAACACTTTAAATTGGAAGACTTTAGAACAGCGTGTAAATTACTTGATCAAGGTATTTTTATGGCCACTATAGATATGAAAGTCGCCTACTTCTTAATTCGCGTCCAATCTAGAAAATACCTTCCGTTCCTTTTCGAAAAAACCCGATACCAATTTTCATGACTTCCATTTGGCCTGTCCACAAGCCCTCTCATATTTACAAAACTACTTAAACCAGTAGTTAGCTGACTTAGAATCAAAGGACTCATGTCTGTCATTTATCTCGACGACATCCTGTGTTTTGGTGCGACGACTGCCGATTGCGAAAACAATATCAAATTCACCCATCAATTTTTAGATCATCCAAAAAAACCGAACCGCCAAAAGAGAAAATGACAAAAGTCATGAAATTATTGAAAAATTTTGAGCTGAAAACTTACTGCTCAATACAAGAATTCGCTCAACTTATTAGTACATTAGTTTCATGTTCTCCCGGGGTAAAATATGCCCCTCTTCACTGCAAAATGCTAGAAAGAGCTAAGGGCTAAAGGCTCTGCAAAAATATCATATGGATTTTTTCCAAAAAATATGCATTCCTGAATTCGTCAGCGAAGACTTAAAATGGTGGAAACTAACATTACCAAACACGTCACGCATCATTCGACAAAATATTTTCACCATGGAAATTTGTTCAGACGCTAGCCTCATGGGCTGGGGAGCGGCATATGAAAATAAGGGCGCTAATGGTCAATGGTCTTTCCAAGAACGTCGGCTAGAGATTAAACATCCAATCCTTTGCTTGCGATATCAAGGATTGCGAATTGCTCCTTAGGGTCGACAATACAATAGACTCTATCATATACTAACAAAATGGGAGGAACGATATCAAACTCTTTATACCAACTAGCGAAAGAATTATGGGATTGGTGTGAACAAAGAAGAATCTGGGTACATGCGGCATATATCGGTTCAAAGGAAAATATCGAAGCGGACGCGCATTCACGAAATTTTAATAGACACTGAATTGAAAATTGGCTGATTACGCCTCCAATAAAATTAAAGATACTTTCGGGAAACCGGATATTGACTCAATGTAAGATATTTTACCCATGGGGTCGTGACCTGAACGCATACACCTCAGATACTTTCACTTTATCTTGGTCCTCTGAATTCTTTTAGGCCTTTCCACCATTTTCGATAATTCCCAGGGTCTTACGAAAAATAAAAAACGATAAAGCAACAGACACTCCCGTAGTTCCCTGGTGGAGTAACCAACCCTGGATCCGCATGTTCCAAAAAATGATAACAGATAAAGTTTTAACTTTCCACCCAGACCCTAATCTATTACTATCTCCCTGCAGGTCCCAGATACACCCGTTAGCGTCAAAACTTACCCTGGTAGCCACGAAATTATCAAGCTAGCATGAAAAAGGAAAAACATTTCGGACGAAGCCATTGGCACCATGGCTGCCTCAATTAAAGACTCGATATTTAAACAACATAATTGCACCTTCAAAGCCTGGAGTTAGAACACGAACCGCCAAGAGGACACATTTGATATATCCCCATCCAAGGTACTTACATTTCTCTCAAAAAGATTCGCCACAAACGCTGGTTTCGGAGTAATAAATTCATCTAGAGCAGCATTATCCTTTATTTCACCAACTAATCTGGGTGAGGATCCATCCATAGCCAGATTTGTCGAAGGTTGTTACAACAAAAGACCATCGAAACCACGTTATGAAACCACTTGGAATGTTGACCCTGTTTTGAAGCATCTAGCTGAATGGTATTCACTAGAAGATTTAAAATTTAAAGAAATGACCTTTAAACTAGCAATGCTAGTGGCCCTGGAAACCGCACACCGACAACAAACACTATTCTCTATTAGATTAAAAAACATTCAAAAGAATGAAGAAGGCTTTGAAATTAAAATACCAGACCTTATCAAAACTTCGAAACCTGATAAAGCTCAACCGTTACTTCGAGTACCGGTATTTGAGCAAAATACAGGAACAGTGCATTGCCACATCACTGGAAAAATACTTAGAAATTACCAAATATCTTTTGTTTTACTCTGAATCTTGTGATTTCAAGGCATAACTAACGTTACTATACTTATAATCTATCGGGCGAGACACTTGTATAATTTAGATCAATCTTCGCCCGCCGTCGGCCGGCTCGGTTGATCGCCGAATCATGTAATCATGGGCGCGATAATAATAATAAACCGGGATAATAATAATCATCGTCCCGAAACCCTCCAACAGAGATTATGGTGTCTTTATTGTTTATTTATTTTTTCAGTGTTCATTGGCTCCGGTGGCAAGGAATGTTTTCAGCAGAGATACACTGACGTGGGGAAATGTATAAATGCTACATATAGCAAATATATTCGAACTAACGACACTAAGCCTGGAATGTCAACATTTGATAAAATCCCTATTTTCCAATTTGATGCTCAAAAATGCAGGTGAATATATTATCAAAATCTGAAAGAAATCATGCAAAATACGGAAAATTATAGAAATGGTTGACGAATATGCGAGGATTGCACGAACATATTGAATCTCTTTCGAAAAATCACAGATATAAGGAACATTTCAGTTGCACGGTACAATTGTATCACAGCTGATGCTTATTCTTCGGTCTGGCTTTGCCCATACTTATAGACAGTAAATTTGTACTAGGTGATGTAGGACCATTCTGGTAAACCTCCCCTCTCTACAAACATCTTATTGCTGTGCGGACATGCGTTGATCGAGTAGTTGCGTGCCGTTTATGCGCTTGTCGATAAGTCGGCTCAATCAAGTTCGGTGAGACAAAGGACATCAAACATTACATTGGCCCCCGTTTGGTAGGAATAGAATGTCTGGCTCCCACCATATTTTCGTTACTGGTCTCCATACTATACGGATCCGAAATGTTTTCTTTCTACAAAAAGTGATACAATCTACCCCTGCCCTGCTAGGAATCGCCAAGCATTGACAGCAGGGCCAAGCTTGGTTGACCCTATACTGCCAAGCCTGGCATTTCCTAGCCTGAGTCTGGCTTGAACCTATGGTGATGCCAGGCTAGCCCAAGGTCATTTCGGCAGGTCACTCTTTTTTTTTTTTTTTTTTTTTTTAAAGAGGTTTTGGGGAACCTTACATAGGTTCTGGCCATGGTCAATCAAGGCCAGATCTCAGATTCCTACTGAGTAAACCCCCTTTTTCTTCCTCTCATCGCCTGGTCCCTTGAACCCCCCGCGGAACCGCCGGCAGGCATTACCTCATGGGGGGGGGACATCAGCGGTCAGGTCCGCTCTCCCTGCACCTGTGAACAGATTAGAGTACTAGTAGCTCACCTACCTGCGATGTATTTTCGGGAAATAATACGTTGTAGCGGCCAGACGAGTTGAGACCTAGCTGGACGGCTAACGAACAATTGTGCCTCAGAGGGACACTTCTTGAATCGACCGTCTATGCACATAGAGCGAGTCTGATACGCGGATTTCTCAATCCCGTAAAGGGGAGAAACATCTAGAGAGCTTACTTAGCTGAGGCCTCAGTCCGGTGGAGGAGAAGTACAGATAGAGAGCGAGACGGTCGAGCCCTCGATCCTCCAGAGGAAAGTTATGACTAGGAACCTTGTTGTTTCCTCAGATCCTGAAGAGGAGAAAAGAGAGATACCGGCGATGAGAGAGGTTAAGCGGAGCGCTTAGAGAGCCAGCTTGGGAGTTCCTTGCTCAACACGAGCCGAGCATGAACAGAGATAGAGTGCCTGTTGTGCAGGGCCTCATATCAGAGGTGGTGGGAACTTAAGCTCCCAGAGCTACTCCAACTCCCAACCCCCATTAGGCAAACTTGTCCCAAGCCATAAAGCTTATAGTTGCACCCCCTTCGGTCCCATGATGCCCTGCGCGTAGGCAAGAGCAGTGAGGATATTGAGCAGAAACTTGGTGGTGGGAAAAGTAGAATAGACAAATTTTCTATTTCCGCTACTGGAAATATTGCTTCAATTATTTCTTTTTTTGTTGTTATGATTTGATTGATTATTGGTTGTTTTTAATCGACTTTATAAACTTTAACTGAAGATGTAATTTTTCTCTCTCAAGTTCCCGAGCATCCCACTTTCATTTCCACCGATGAATGTGAAACCATCATTTTTTAATTATATTTCTTTTTAATCAAAGAGAAAATGTCCAAACACGTGCATAACAATTCAAACCATTTTGCCCCTGCTTTTCCGTCACACGCATGGGCCATCTATCGATGTTACCCCCTTTACACAAATATATGACAACTCTTATAATCACGTTAGGTCCCTTATAATTAGAATCTTAATAATTTTATAGCAAAAGCGCTCATCTCAGGAGTAAAACGATGCAGCGAGTCTTCCTAGTCCACCACCCTCTATGAAACTGATTTTAACAAAAAGTTACAAAGTCCGCTTTGTTAACTTAGTATTTTACTATTAGAGTTCATTCATTTCATTTTCATTTTGAATTCTAACAGAAAATGGGGTACGGTCATCGCAGAAGCCAGCTCCAGTATATATAGGGCATTTTCCGAAAAACTAAGACGAATAAAATCGTGAAATTTGGATTTTGCTGATTTTTTTCCTGGTAATAGTAGGCAATGCGAGAAACATCTATGAACTTTTGCACATTTATTAACCTAACCTTTTTCGAAATGAGAATTTGTTCTTTTTTTTTTTAAAGTCCTACACGGAGAGAAAATTCCAATAAAAATTACTGTGCACTACAATCGTGGTGCAAAATGCTAGAATACTAGAACTTCGTTAATTCACAAATATAAATTACTATCAATATGTCAAATTTTCTTATACATTCCGTAATTAATCATGTGTGGCTCCATAAAATTTACTAAACAGCACTATAAAATTTGAAGGTCTATCATGTTTTGTTTGAGTTTGAAAGAAAAATTGATAGAAATCCTTCAAAAATTCCTATCCAAATCGGTATTTTTTATTGTGCTCTCTTCTAATTTTTACTGTGCTACACAGCATTTTCTCCAAACATTTTTTAACCTAATATGATTGGTTAGCGATGAACGTCGAATGTTTCCGATTCTTGCTGAAGTTGAATTTAACAATGGTAACTGTTGCGACGACTATGAATTTTTATTTGGCCGATAACGAAGTTTTGCTCGGCCGATGAAGAAATGTTACTTCATGGCATAGTAATTTTTCTCAGGCCTGCGGTTTACACCTAGATTCTAAGGCAGTAGAGTAATTTTTATCGGAATCACAATATAAAAATTCATCGATTTTTCTCTCCGTGTAACTTCCCGAAAAATCCAAATGAAGCTTCTTTTCTTTCGCGCATTCAATTTTGAATTATATTTTTATTTTTTAAAAATGCATAAATGGAGATAATTTCTAAAGTCATTTCCACTTTTTAAGGAGAAAATAAAAGGTTGTCGGCGGGTCGGGCAGTTTCTTTTTTTTGTAAAAATTCTCGCAATAAATAAATTTTTTCCATGAATTTTGACATTTTTTCATCATGGGGAACCAATTCCTTCTATATACTATTCCAGTTGTAATATTTTCATCGCATTTTGCTGCATTCTGAAATATCAATACTTGATTTTTTAGATGAAAATCTGTACTCTGCTCTTTCTAGCGCAAAATTCGAAATATATATAGAAAGGAATACTAAGCAACCATTAATTAGATATTTTCATACAAAAAATTAAGTATCGATGTTCCAGAATACACACAGAAAACACTATATTTAAAATAGCAGAGTTAAAACGTAATTTACGCGATTCCTGATCGCGTACATTGCGAGTTTAAAAATTTGAAAATTACGGACTGAAATTGTAAGATTCGATCTTGTGAATGACGTGCTTAGCCTCGTAATTTACACTCCCTTTCCCCTAATTTACGCTATTTCAATCACCTCAAATCTGTGATTGGAATGATAAATGCAAGGACATATTAGAATAACTTTTTTGGTTAACATCAAATCTTCATGTTTGAGGATATTTTGGGTCATCTGGCTTTCAATGATTCGTTCTCAAAGTTTTTCCAAGCGAATAAAAAAAAATTTTTTTTACTTGGGAAACATTGCTCGAAGGTGATAGAAATCGAAGATGGCAAATTCTGAGAGAAATACTAAGCTATCTTTCATGGCTTCCGTAAAATTTTTCAAATTTGTAAAAATTGCCGAATTTCCAACATTTTTTTAGTTTTTAAATACTTTTTGGAAAAATGTTGAAAAAAAGTAAAAAAAAGTCATGTTCAGATGACCCAAAATATCCTCAACCATGAAGATTTGATGTTACCCAAAAAAGTTTTTCTAATATGTATAACGAGATTTTTCTCGCAAAAGGTTGAAATCCCCTTCAACCGAAAAGAATCCAGTTGTATGAACAGTGGAGACGAAAGAGACATCAAGCGGAGGCCGAAAAGGCTTCGGATAGGCTGCCGCTGAGTTGATGTTTGCCCAGCATTGATAGGGAGTATTGTCGCCGACGTGCGAGCCTTCCAACCTGGCAACTCAAATGTGTTTACCGATTTAGACTAGGGACCAACGGCCAGGTGAGAGGACTAGCGCCTCCAGGATCCTGTCGGGTTGATTGTCCGAAGAAGGTCAAGTTAATTTTATTAAGATGATACAAAGTCAAGTATTGCTAATATTTTGACGAAGGCTCTGTATGAAGTAAAGATTATTAAACTAAGACAAAAATTAAGACTAAGATTGTAATGGGATTTTTAGAAATCCCGCACATTAAACTGAATTTTGGATTAAGTGATCTTCTCTTTGCAGCTCACTCGAGTTTCCCCGGAAATTGCTCGATCTGTCCAAGCGCGTGAGGACGTGAGAACTCGAGTGTTTAGGGCGTAGCAGGCCTACGGACAGGCAATAGCACTGAACGGACATGTAGAAACACTCCCAGTCCCTCTATGAGACTTCCCGGCATATAGCATAAGACTCATACTGGCGTACGCGCGCTCGATATTAGACGAGGCGGGCATTCGGACGGCTCATCATTCCGAAGGGTTGTTCGAAGGGGTCAGTGGAGACATTTTAATTCGGCGCGCTCCAAAAGAAGCTAGTGCCAGGGATATCCACACTGCACCACGAGAATAGTAACTCTCTTTCAATTCTTTTCGTCTTATTTTTCCACTGATGGTCATCAGTCTCGTGTTCGATAAATTGCGTTACATCCGTGATAATGATGACTGGGCTCAGGCCCCATCTATGATCATGCCCAAAATCAGTCTCTGAACATGACATCTGAAGTCAGATGACATCTCTCGGCCTCCTGTTGATCTTCGAAGTAGGTCCTCAAATGGAATGCAATGGCCTGTCCTTTTGATTTAAAATAAAATCAAATGAAATTAATCTGATTTCTCTCCTTTCTCAGGACTCTCCTCCATTGAAGGTGACTTCCCGTCGATTTGAAATTTTGAAAACGCTTAACATTTTTTTGAATTCTGATTTCTGATTGCTAAAAAATAACTGTTCCAATGCACAACATTGGAACCTGGTATTCTGTGGACGATTTTCCAGTCTTCTCTTTCTAGAATCTAGATCTGAAAAGCCTTCATGATTTGATACTTGTTCTGTTTTTATTTTCGTACAGAGGGGTTCTCTCCAGGATATCGAGTTTGGCGTGTATTACCTTGGCCATTCATTCTCCCTAACATGTCAGGTTCCACGTTCCATCCTGCCAACCTGACAGGGTTCACTTCGATTAAGCTTGCCTGGTTGAACGAATATATTTGCGTATGAGTGAAAATCATCAGTCGCAATCTCATAAGTCCCAAAATCTGGTAACCTGAAGTTCCTTTAAGTCTTCAATTTTAATTAAGGCTTAACACTGATGAACTTATTGCAAGAGTGGCCTCCATAGTACTATCATAGATGAAGGTCCCTTCGATACCGACTCTGGTCACAGTCACAAATCTGTAGTGTAAAACATTCCCGTGATTTTTTTTATATAAAAATGAAAAAAAAATCTAAATGCATTCAATACATGAGAGATTACAATCTGTGGCTATTTCTTCGACAGGGTTTTCAATACTTTTACTAAACTTTTTCTCTTTTCAGTGATGCGTCCGAAACTCAAGCTTGCATCGTGAGAGAATTGGAGAAATGTGATGATCCTACACCTGGAAATCTCATGGACTCCTTAATGACCTTTGTCAAACGCCAAACTCCCTGTGCAAAGTTTGTGAGATCTAATGCTGAAAGATCAGTAGCAGAACCAGTTATCAGCGGAGCAGTTTCCACCATACCTTACTCTATCATTTTATTATATATCCCTATCCTTTTAACCTTTGTCTAAATTTATAGAGCCCACGTTGATCATGATTCTGAGCTGATCACTCAATTGCAAAATTAATGTAACTTTCAAATCAATTGAGGTGGACAAAAATATATGAAATTCATGACAAATTACTTACTTATAAATATATATCTATATACATAATGCTCACTGTTTCAAAAAATTGAATAGAACCTCAGAATAAAATTTCAGAATGTTCGCGGTTTAAACAGAATTTAAGAAAGACTCTTAATGAAAGATTTGCACATATTTATATATTTGTCGACATGACTAAAGGCGAGGAGCTCCCCACCTCGGGGCTACAAATTCTCCAGATGGAAAATCTATAGGAGGGATGTCGAGAATTCGGCGGGCGAGGGCACATTCATGTTTATGAAAGATAACTTAGCATTAACCGAAATTGAAAACGTGGACAGAACATTCCCTTCGATTTATCAATGTGTCCCCTGAAATGAGTGGTCCTGTCACTTTATCGTTGTCCAAATCAGGCATGGGCAATCTCCAGGTAGCTCGGAGCAGAGCCATAAACTCGAATTAGAAATCCAATAAAGTTTACAACCATTTCAATAATAAGGGTCTTAGTACTAGCATAGTGGGGGCAGTAGTGGGGGCTTCACAGGTACTAAGGTGGGGAGTATCCCATGAAGCATCTGGCAAGAATTTATCCTCCGGAAGGGTAAAACTTGTCGCGCATCTGATTATTTTTTAATGCACACATGAAAAAAAAATTGAAATTTTTCTGATCGACTTATTTCGCTGCTTTTCCTTTACTTGAGTCTCATTTCTCCTCTTTTCCTTTTCTTAAGCGTCACCCCCACTTCGGTTGATCTCAGCGGAGGAGAAGGGCCTTTACGATCTGGGTCATAAAGGCCCAGCACCCGATACAATGGGCTTTCGTCTACCCTTTGTTACGCACTAATAGAGGTCGGGAGCACGACTTGCTCTCAGAGCAGAGTTTGCCCAGCCCTGGTCCAAATTACCAGCTATCGAAAGATGAATGGGAAAAACAATGGCAAACCGCACTGTTAGCTCCAAAGACGTTTTCGGTGGACGACTTTAACGGGCATCACACTATGTGGAACTGCGGGCGAATGACGGCGTAGGCCCGTTTCGTCGCCTGTTTAACATTGTTGTTCCGCCATTAACGAGCACTTATCGTTTAGGCGCTCGTACACTTACAGTCGATTTTTATCGCTGTAGTTGATAAGTTGTGGTGACCACTGACCACTGACCACTGGTTGGACTAGAACATCGATGAACGGTGGATAAATCCAATTTGAAGAGAATTGTCGAAGTTGAAAGCAATTTTAAATTTTAAATTTTAAACTTTTGGCAGTTTATTTGACTTATTGTCCATGGTGTTTGACGCCATAGTGGACTGTTTGGGATTTCTTGATCTGTTTCTTCGGTAGAGTCATTGGATTTTTATTGGAATTATATTTCGCTAACTCGTGATTATTTTCTCTTTATTTGGAAGATCTGGGGTTTTAACTGAATTTAGTAACGACTCTTGTCTGTCTTATTTTATATTTTTTGCTTATTGTCGCCTCGAATATTAATTTTCTTTTATTTCGGTGATTCTCGAAATTTCTAGGTCACTGTTATTATCCTTGAATTTTTAATCTGTTATTTTTCATGGTCGGTGAAGCCACTTGTTGTATCAAATATTATTTTTGAATTTTAAAGCATTGGAAGTGGGTTTGCAGCGTCTGTCGACGTTCGAGGATTTGTGTTATGCCGAGAACCTTTTCGGTTATTGTCGACATTTAGTCAGGGATTTTGAGATATGTTGTTTTATTCCAATAAAAACCCAATCATATTAGGTAATTTTTTGACCCCGGAGTACTTGCATTTTTTTCATGTATAATTATCAGAATCTTCTAGGACAGTATTTGCAATCGAGCCGCCTCCGTAGTTAATATCCTGCTTGGTCGTCAACTGCCATAATGATATTATTTAATTTAGATTTTTGCCCGTTTCAATATAAAGCATCATGTCGTTTCACATTTTATAGTTTTCAGTTTGGTGACCGAGACCTGCGTATATTTGTCTGTTCTTCTCTGGAGCGCAAGACACACCACAATAGGCTGTCCCGTGAATGTCCTTCAATTCACACGAAGGCGGAGATTTTTTCATTTCTTGTTTTCCTCTTCCTGCGGTGCCATGGGGCCGACTTCTTCCCCAACTGTACTGCATTTGCACGGGCGCTGAAGGAAACCACGGAAAACCTCAACCGGCTGATAGTGTAGGGTAGTCTTTCTGTCACACTAACTAGAAAGATAGACTGAGTCTCCACACCCGCGCCTTCTATGCCGCAATTCGACCGATTTGTGTTCCTAAACAATCGATCTAAGTACTGACCCAAAGACACGTTACTTAGCTTGGATGTTCGCTGGAGCAACACCTTACTCGCTGAACCATTACCGTCAGTCAAGTCCAATATAACACAGATTTTCTCTACACCAGATATGCCTGACAAGCTCAATTGTGGAATCGCGGATGAACCAAACGGGTCACACCACTTTCCAGTTTTCATCAATGTCATGGTTACTAAACATCGTGATTAGAAAAACACGATATACGCTACATTTACACAGGATATACACATCTGATATACACATACATTTACGATATACACACCTAAAACCGCCTCGATAAGAGTGACTGAGCAACTAGAAAACAACACAAAAAAAATTCGACATCTCAGAATTAAACGAACTCTTCGTTTCCAACAGTTGACTATTCAGGAAATGGCGAAATGGGGAAAATTGAAGACCCTAGTCATGACAATACATTTGACAAAGTATTGAGTAGAATAATGATGGAAAAATTGTTAAGATCACAGGAGTTGACTACTTTCTTCTCTCGTAATCAGACACCAGACCCCGGGATGAAAAAATCCGAGTCTCTGTCGGCATGAGAGACGTGCGTCTGCGTCTCTCGACGAGTATCGCTTAGCGCCATTATACATACTTTTCGGAGACTCACCGTGAGGCGATCAGAGTCTCGCTGCGAGAGACGTTCTTCTTTGCATGCGAGACGCTTTCGAAGTAGAGTAGTCTCTCAAGGTATGTCCTGAAAATTCCCTCACCGTTTTCCGTATAGAGATTATTGAGAGGCAATAATTAAACTTGCAGCGCTTAATCTTTATTTATTAACAAAATAAGATACAAAATTGTCAATTATTCTTGACAGAATCATTGAAAAGATTTTTTTTAAGTGGAATATTTTTCGTTATTGCATTATAGCTTTCACTTTTTCATTCTAATTAACATAAACATAAAATTAAAGTACTAAAGTACAATATTAAACGGATAGAACGTTTTTTTTTAACCAGACCAAAATGATAATTATAATAATCGTTAAGAGGAAGCCAAAACAGCAACTAAACGTTTCATTACCAAAATTACATCTGACAAGGTTTTAAAACTTTCCCGTGTGATTTTCCAATCATTCTCCACTAGTCATATACACTTTTCTCCTAAAGTAACATGGGTCGTTTTGCAAATACTTATGGTATGATCCACTCACATTGCAATCTTTTTTAAACGTAAAACTTACCATTTAAAGCAATAGACTCTTGACCATTTTTAAAGATTTTGGTACCTGAACTCATTGGTGTATGTACCGAAACGATTATCCTGAGGCATAGGTGGCCCATAATAGTTAGCCTGAAAATTCTCCGTTGACTGAACGTCGCTACCTACATAATTATTATTATTATAAGGATAATATTGTGCTGGTTGAGGGAATCCCGAATTGTACATAAAAGTGTCTTGAAAACTCCAAGGATGATAGTGCATATTTCCGGGTGCATTTTGATGTTGTGGGGGCAGTGATTGCAGTCCCTGAATGAGTGAACTATTCTCTTTGTTCCCATTATTCACGACATTTGATGTCAGAGCTGGCTGTGAGATATTTCTGTTCACGTCAAGAGAACCAGCAGAAGAAATAGCCGACACTTTACATGAATTTTGTTCCTCTTGATTCAAGTTCTTAGGGCTCAAAGGCTACTTAACTTGTACGGTTTCACTTACAGACCCTTTTTTAGTCTTACCATCAGTGGAATATGAAACAACTGTCTCACACGAATCTTTCTTCGCCTTTTTTAAGGCTATGGGGCTTATATTATTCCAAGCCAAGTCCACAATGAATGATGATGATAAGAATGAGGATGAACGATGTCCAAGCAGATATTGATCATCACTCAGATGCCGTTTTCTTTGTAGTTTCTTTCTTAGAGTAGACGTTTTGATGTCTTTAGTTAACGAACTGCACCTCGATTGAGATTCAACTGAAAAGTCTCCTGACTGATTACGAAAAATGTAATTTGTAATTCGCAGGGTCAAATCCTTCTGGTTGAATTTTGATGAATGAGATGAATTATCTTTTATTCCCGTCATACCGTCAGTCCATCTAGTGAATTTCCGAACCTCCGAATTATCAGAACCTTCTTCAACTTTAGACTCTCGTCTAGCTTGACGCTTCTTCTGAGCATGTGAATCACTTGTCCCACCCAGGTGATTAATTTTCTCTTCCATATTTGAGCGACTACTCTTTGAGGAGATAGATAAAATACTCTCATGAGAAGTCAAGATGGTAGCCTTTGATTTTTTAGATTTCTTCTGTTGTCGAGACCCCTTCTTAGACAATGGTCATATACTGCCCTGTTTTTTGTCATCTAAGGCTTTTTCTATTTCATTTTTCAGCGTTTTTTTTTCAGTCACCCTCTTCTTCGCTGCGCGAAGTGAACCACACATCAAATTTACAACTCGATTGTAATTTACTGGTGGGTCTTCTGCATGCAGCGTTACGTAATCTGCGATAAAAATACATAAAAAATTTAGACGTTTTTAAACGTGCTTTCATAAGAACGAGTATTCACAAAGTTCTACAAAAATAGCCTTGGGAAAATCACCGTGTATCGCCTTGTATAATACAGGATCGAGTCCTTCGTGCTCATCACTTCCTCCTTCTGCACACATCTTGATCAGCTTCTCCTCACCTACTTGCTATTTCAATAATTTTCTAATGAACTCCTTACGATTTTTCTTCCAAGAAGAAGTTAAATTTGAAAGATGCTGGCTTTCAACCCATACTCCCGAGGAAGGCACCAATTCGACCTGAAAATATGGTAAAGGCGTACCGTTGGTGATCTGACAAGCTATTGCGGAATAAAAATGAATTCATGGAGGCTTCTTTGTCGAGTGATTTTAATGAGCAAGGTGTTCTCTGAAAATCATCAAGTAATGTTGAAATCGTAAAAGTAAAGTCTCAAACAGATCTTCTTATCAGATGCAAATAGGCGGTTCACTGCACAATGAATTCTTATGAGTGAATTTATTCTCACCTTTCCGGGTCCAGGAATTCTCCAAGGTTGGCATTTCACGAACAATTTCTTACCCTTGATGCGAAAAAAATGTATGAGAATTCTCACGAAAAATGATTAAAATAGTAATCTTCAATTCATTCTCATAGGCTAAATAGTTTTTTACCTCCTAATTTTCTCCACTTCTCTTAGTTCGAGCGCTCAAGTGCAATTTTAAGTAACCAAGGACATGTTCTAAAACTTCTGATGTTACTGTAACAGAGTTCAATAGTCGATTATAAAATTTATAAAAGATAGTCAGGGGAAAAATTCGATGTAGAGAATGCACATAATTGAATCAGGAATGAAAATTAATCGAATGAACTATAGGAATATTCAAATTTCATTAGATTATAACTATCAGACATTATAAATGACGAAGGAAATTTTCTTTAATATTGATTTCGACTGAAATTTTCTGAGCTCTTCGATTTAGAAAAATTTGCTATACATGGGGTATTCTAAGTCAAATCATCAATGTTTACCCTCTCAAAAAATACGTGAAAGTTAATCAGAAACCACTTTTTTTTGCTGTTTTAAATTATTTACTTTACACATATGACTTTTACATGTTTTTTAAAATTCATTCCAGGCATAATATTCAACGGATGAAAATCAATAAAAAAAGAAAATATATGTTTTTTGAGAGTCGATCTGAATGTATTCAATTGTTACATGCGAAAATTCGGATAAAATGAAGGAAAAACGAAAATTATGAAGGCAAAACCAAATGAAAACCATTTCAAATTATACCTTTCGAGGTGTTTTTTTTTTAAATCTGAGAAACAATGTGGAGATGGTTTTCTATGGAACTTCATTGCAAACAAAAATGCCATCAATTCCTGAGATGGGCAGAGTAAACGACTTTTCGATTTAATATGAATCTCTAAAAATAATGATTATACAATCAAGAAATATTAGTAACTATGCAGAAAACTCATAAAAATTCCTTCTTTCATCAATATTGACGAACAAATTCATTTATTAGGGGAATAGAAAGGGCTGATTGATCGTCACAAATGATAAATCAATATTGGGTCAATGTGGTAGCAAATGAAGATTAGAAAGTAATTTCCTACGAACAACTATTCATTCAAAATTTCTCTCCTATTGAATTTGCTTCACAATATTAATCAGCAAGCGATTCAAGTATCCCTGTCGTTGAAAATTGAAATAGATGGATTCAGGGTGATGCCAATACGAAAAACAAAAAAAATAACATAAAATCTCAAAGACGACACAGCGGATCTTTGAGTATAATTTTCTCCATTGGGAATTGTTTTTTTCTGGGTCTCAATCGAGTTTTAACAACATAAAAATTTATAAAAACCTGGCAAAGATGCACATGAATTGCACAGCTGGCACCTTTGTCTATCTTCTTCAGATACATCATTAGGAAACATTTTCAAGGCCGTAGTGATATCTGTCTCCTTTGAGTAGTTACTTCCAGCCTTGCCAAGTTTCGTTGATGCTTTATCATCTAAATTGGTCAGACCCCTGCTAAGGAATCCGTCAGATTTCTCCACTTTCATAGGTGAGTTCTTACCCATTCTTTGGAGTAAATCTTGATTGAATTTTCTCAAGGTATTTTGTTTAGCTTTATCTGAATTTCTCTTATCCTTGGATAATTATTTTTTCTTGGCGATGTTCAATTCTGTACGAGCTCTGAGACCCCGTTCTTTTAGTAAAATCAATGTTCCACTCTCCTTGTGAACATTCAGCTTCTTCAAGTAATCTTTGGCTAAAAAACACTGTAATAATTTCAATAATTGCTTCACGCGATTAAGTCGAATTTTTTTCTCCGAAATGGTTTTTCACTCTGAAATCTATTTTGTCTTACATCGCAAATATTGATTGAGCTGAAAAGTAAAGTGGAAACCAAAGAAAATTCGTAACACAATAACTGAGCTGGGAACCAAATGAGATCAAATGATGTATCACCTGACACTCAGTGTCTTAAAATATTGAATGTGCTGTAATAAGACATTTCTCATTGAGAAATTATCTACCAACAAACGAAGCTTTTATCATATTTCTTCGAAAAATCAATGGAAAGCTCAAAAAAAAGAATTTCATGATTAATTAAAAGAGTATATCCATAACTTGGATTCTGTGCTAAAATAAGGATTAGAAAATCCATATTTATCACCATATCGTACGATTTTTCCTGTGTGTTTAACATGTTTGTTCCATTGGACATCAACCGTATCTCCTTGGTTTTGTTTCTTTCCATCTGGTGCTAAGCAAATCATTTCCTCATCAATGATTGATGCCGTTTTATCACCTGGAAACCATATCAGGACATGCATGTTGTTTCACTTGTGTCCTTTTCTTCAAATTGAGTGAAAACGTCGACCTCTCGAGACACCAAAAATGTGAAGCCTTGGGCACTTTATCCCCCACACAGGGAAAGAAATTCTCACCGTAATTATAAACTGCCGTAATTGCCGTAATTATCAACTGCGTTATGCTCTTTGTATATAACTATTATTAAAATTATTACAAATGCCGGTCCTGCCAGCACGACTTACAAGGAAAGACGACAGACACTACACTTTATGCTCCTTGTTAGACAATTTTATGAAGAAGTCGTCTGAGCGCATCAAATCGCGATGAAGATAATATTTCTCAACTTGCCGATTACCTCGAAAATTCTGCAAGGTATGAAATTACTCTTTATTTTTTTTTGTAAATTTGTTTCTTGTCAATAATTCTTGAAAAATATTGTAATGTCCAGATTATTTTTAAACAGGTACAATTAACAAAAATAGATTAAAAATTAAATAAACGAGCCGAGCCAATGAATCACCGCCACGAAAATTGAGAAACCCACAAAAAACCGCCAATGACCTCAGGGGAATGTGCAACGCTGCATTCCACAGAGGCCATTGCAACCAAAATTTAGCAACTCACAATTTTCCCTAGCAAGTAAAGCCAGGTTAATAAACTCAAAATCGAAGAGGTGGCAATCACACCACCTCTCCGACTCCAATCAAGTTGCCAATCCTTGTAAAAATAAATAGAGGAGCCTCCCAAGAAACAGGCAGTCTGAAAAAACCCGCTCACGAAAGAGCTACAACTTCCTGGCGGAATAATTATTGGAATCGGTCCGACTTTGGCTAATATTTCGGCGTTAATCTTTATTAAATATTCGGAGTGTTCCTGAATAATATTAGGGAACATAAATTAGCAACTGTTCGGGGATACTGCATCCTTAAACCGAGGGTAAATAAACTCTTGCATATCAAGGGAACAAGTAGTAACCGTTTGTGAATGGTGGGTGTGACTCAACATTAATTAATTGTGATTATTAAAAACTATCGAGAACCTAGACTCAATTTCATCAGCAAATCCAATCTAAAACAACTGAGTGAAAGACAGGTACTCCACCTAAGTATCTGTGATAGTGTACTACCAGTCATCTGGCAGAGAAAAGAGGTGGAATCACCCCAAGAATTCACGCCCTAAAAATCATAATTGATCGCAGTGAGTAATTGTTCAACAATAAAACCTGAGATAGATCCATCAATGATTGTAAGGGTCCTTTAACTATAACTATTTCTATCACAACCAATGTATGATTTAATTATCAATTTTATCAAATATGTAAATTTGAACGGCCTCATATCTCGCATTTCATTCAACCAAATTCACTTGAAAATTACTGATGATATTAGCATCCGCAGGTAAGAACAAAAAGAAAATCCAGCGTCGTCCAAAAAATTTCTAATTAACAAATTCCAGCTTATGAACAAAACTCAATGTCCTTCGACGCGAAAATTCTCCGGACATAACAATATGAAATGATGAAAAACCATTCAATCATTACTTTTTCGCACTCATCTTTTTCTTTTTATAATTATGCATTATTATTCTATTTGTAGTCAATCAGAAGAAGCCAATGAAAATAATTCCAATGAAATGAATATTTCTTTAATGAGTGAAGAAGAGGAGCTGATACATGAGCAGAGTGGTATGAAGAATAATTGATCATTTTTTTTAATAGTTTAGGACAAAACGAGAAAAGTCAAAGAGAAAATTTCAAGTAATCATGTAGAGTCATTGCACATTTTGTCCATTTTCAGAGAAATAAAATTTTGTCTTTTTGAAAAGAGAGCTTCTCAAAAATGAAACTGAATCTACAAGATATATATTTTAAACTAGACTCTTAATTTATTTGCTCAATACCTTCATAATAAAAAAATGAATTCAAATACGTCTCCCTTACCACCATGACAAGTCCTGATTGAGGAACTTAGAGTCGGAATTGGGAAGATTTCAAAATATCCTTTCGCACTAATTTTAGGACCACCACTCTACTGCTCTGTCCATATGAATGTATTTTCAATTCATTCAACGTATGATTTCATTTTTCCTGCTTTTTTAATTTTTACTGTAGATGAAACTGATGATGAAAATGAGTTCGATGATAATGCATCTGGACCAGATGAAGATTTGATAGATCAAAATATGAGTGGAGACGATGAAGAGGAAGAGGCACAAGAGGAAGAAATTTTTGAAGACCGTCTGGACGATCTATTGCTGTACGAAAGAGCCCGAATTACTGTAGGAGAAAGTCTCTTAGCTATTTTAAGTCTATTTTTGCGGCACACACTGACAGGGGCATGTCTTACAGATATTTTAAAACTCGTAGAATTGCCCGGCACCGAATTTGTACAAAACCAGCTTATATTTATTTAAAAAACATTTTGAAAATGTTTACTCTCCTTTAAAACGTCATTCCTATTGCTCAAGGTGTTACTTCCCCCTTAACGGACCCCAAGGAATCTGTCATCAATGCCCCGCTGGTACTGAAATCTGTTATTTCATAGAAATATCAGTTATAAGCCAACTGGAAGCGTTATATAGACGTTCTGATTTCGTCCACAAACTTCAAGAACGCTTTAATAGAATCAAATGAAATGAGAATCATTACGAAGATATTTACGATGGAAAAATTTATCAAGAACTGAGTCAACCTGGATGTTTACTTTCACACCCCGATAATATTTCTTTCATCTGGAATACAGATGGAATTCCAATATTTCGTTCATCCAATTTCCAGATATGGCCTTTCTTTTTTACTATTAACGAGCTTCCCATCAATAAGAGGATGAAAAAAGAAAATATGATATTGGGAGGGTTATGGTTTGGTCCGAAAAAACCATTTCCTGCACTCTTCCTCAAACCAATATCTGAAGACTTGATTGAACTGAAGAATGGGGTAAATTTTGAACTCCCCAGCTTAGACAAATCGGTACTGGTGAAAGCTGAGGTTATCTGTAGAACGTGCGATCTTCCGACGAAAGCTCTTTTTTTAAATACAAAGCTGTATAATTCTCTATACGGATGTCAAAAATGCAAAATTCGTACAGAACGATACGCTCAAACAACTGTACGTAGCTACCCATCCAAACAGCGTTTGGATGCTCGCACCCAAGAAGAAAGGAATGATTTCGCAGCTCAAGCAGTATATTCGGATGAGACTCCATATGGAATAAAAGGTCCAAGCCCTGTGTCTAGTTTTTGCAATGATTATATTCGACGAACTGCAATTGATGAAATGCATTGTGTGTTCTTGGGGATGGTAAAAGCTCTCCTTATACTGTGGTTTTCAAGCTAATTCAGTCAAGAGGCGTAGTCTCTCTCTAAATATGTTAAAATTGTTGATAAATACCTTTCTACAATAAGACCACCCGATTTTGTCTCGAGATTACCACGCTCCATTTCTCAACATCTGACGTATCTAAAAGCCTCTGAACTAAAAACATGGTTATTTTATTATTCACTGCCCATCTTGAGAGTAATAATGCCAGTAATGTATTTTGAACATTATCTATTGTTAGTTGAAGCAATATCTTTGCTCAATCAGGCGAGTATCTCATCAGAACAGTTGGATTGTGCAGATGAAATGCTGATCGACTTTGTGGCGAAATTCCCTGATTTATATGACAAAAGATACACGAGCGCAAATCTTCACTTATTGCTACATCTTGTAGAAACTGTGCGTGATTTTGGACCATTGTGGGTCACTTCTTGTTTCTCATTCGAAAACGCAAATGGTCAGTTGACAAAACGAGCAACTGGAACTCGTTTTTCTGGATTACAGATCTGTACTGGACTCTCCTATTCCAAAGCGATCCCAGAATTAATAGGAAATTTGAGACCAAACAGCGTGGTTTATGATTTTTGTTGTCGACTAAACGTGCGTCAAGAAAAATACAAGTCCCATCCAATAACTCAAAACTTATCTGCTATCGGTGTTATGGGACTCAAGAATAAGGTACCTGAAGTGGTCTTGGATGTTCTCCAATCATTGAACATCCTTGGATCCAACGTATGAATTTTTTACAGATTAATTAACTCACACATTCTCTATACTGTAACGAGCATCGGGGATAAAATTAATAACGAGAGAGAGAGTGCGAGAATAGGAATTTATGGGTATGTTAAAATTATGATTATTTTCCCCCTTCGGGGTGGTCTATGGATTTTAGGGTTAAAATTAGGGCAAGCTCTAGGTTATTTTAGGTCCGGCCCAAAAAGCCGCCGCTCCAAACGAAAGGGTTCCTGAGGGTTAGATGGTACGGGTGGAAGGCCGCATGGGGACACGAAAAACACCCCTACGGATTGCCAAGGGCTGTTACGGGTGGAAGGCCGTCCGGGGTAGAATCAACCTTCATCCCGACGGAGTGCCAAAAACTTTAGGATTAGTTACGGGTGGAAGGCCGCTCGGGGTAAACCCAGCCTTTACCTCGGCGGATTGCCAATTAAACGAATAAAATTACGGGTTAGTGAAATAATTTAATACGTTTAAGGTTAGTGATTTAGGTTTTCTAACCCCAGAAATCCAGGAGAATCAACCGAGAGAAAAATACCGCGGAAAGAAAAATTTCTGGTAATGAGAATTAATTCAAATTTGAATTAATTCTCCCGCGAAGGGCTTGACCCCGGCACGATTCCGATTACTTTGGCGCCACAGTCTGATGGTGGTTTCCCGTAGTATTTTGTCTTAGGAATTCGGGAAAAATAATAAAAAAAATCGATCTCTATTATTTATAGTAGTTTTCGATTTTTTGATGTAAAAATTTCAAATAATACCAACTTATATCCTACAACGTTGGGACGTTGGGGATTGGTGGTGGTGGGTGGG